TTCAACTTGTCAACTTATAATTAAGAGCCTGAGATTTTATTCAATATATGAAACAATTGAGTTAAAAGTTTCCACAGAGTTCATGTCTGGCTTTACCTTTTGTTTTCTAGGATTCATTTACCACACTCATTCATTTGTTCATTCAATAATCATTTAATCACAGCATCAAACCCATTTTTTTAAACAAGCAAAACTTAAGCTGAAAAAGAAGGTGCTCAGCTAGGATGCACAGCCTATTCCATTTCTTCAATCCCCCAGTGCACACACACTATTTTGGTAAGTGTGCAGGGGAAGGAATGGCCTGTCCTCTGAAAGACGTGATCAAGGGAGATCATCTGGTTATTTGTTGTTGTGTACAAATAAACACACTCTAGCCTGGGTGGCTCAGTCAGTTGGGCAGCCGACTTCGGCTCAGGTCATGATCTCACAGCGCGAAGGCTCGTGGGTTCGAGCCCCGCGTCGGGCTCTGTGCTGACAGCTCAGAGCCTGGAGCCTGCTTCCAATTCTGTGTCTCCTTCTCTCTCTGCCCCTCCCCTGCTCATGCTCTGTCTCTCTCTCTCTCTCTCAAATCTCTGCCCCTCCCCTGCTCATGCTCTGTCTCTCTCTCTCTCTCTCTCTCTCTCAAATCTCTGCCCCTCCCCTGCTCATGCTCTGTCTCTCTCTCTCTCTCTCTCTCTCAAAAATAAATAAACATTAAAAATAATAATAAAAAATAAATACACTCTAAACCTTAGGAGCTTAAAATGACGATCCCTCACGGTTGTGTGGGTTGACTTGCAGCTCCCTACTTCTTGCTCAGGCTCATACGTGGTTCTACTCAGATGATTACTTGGGCTGGGGTCATTGCATGCGTCTTCCATCGCTTGTCCGGTGCCTGCCTGGAAGGGTGGAAGTTACCAGATCCCACGCCTGCAGCCTCTCTGGCTGGGCTGGGCTCCCTCAGGGCATGTGACCTCAGCAAAGACACATCTTGTACACGGACGCTCAGGGCTCCAAAAGCAAGTGTTCTCAGACAAAAACCAAAGGCTACCAATCTCTTACGGCACTGCACCATTTCTGTGTTATTCTGATGGCCAAAGCCACCACGGAATTCATCCGGATTCAAGATCAAGGACACAGACCCGATCTCTCAAAGGCTGGGGTGGAGGAGAGCTGGAATGCTAAAAACTGAAGGCCCTTGTTTATCTGCCACGCAGATACTTAAGGATTCGTGCAAACTCGATCCCTGAAAAGTCAGTAGAGCACACAGCTGTCTGGGGGAGAGTCTTCCCTGGAGTCTGGACTTGATAAGAGATAGATCAGTTGATACCTGAACCTGATTTGTAAATGATTGTATCAGTAAGCTTTCCTGAAAAGATTCGAGGGGCGGCATTGCGCTGTCATTAGCTAAACCACAGGCTTGCTTATGTAAGATACGTGACTCAAGGCACAGTTTATCTCTCTTGGAAGCATGTTATTTTGGAAAGTATTCCTAGTATCGCATTCCACTTGTGGTGATGATGGTGATGATGAAGGAACACGTGACCACACGGCTGTTTCTTGGGCGAGGCTCCCAAAGTCCTAAAGGAGATGATTCAAGGCAGAGTCTATAATGTGGATACAGCTGAAAGTATTTTGTCTTTGTTTTGTCTCGCTGCAGAAACAATTTGTTTCAGGGTCACACCTCCTTTAAGGGGCTGAAATCCACCTCGGACGATCTCACCCATCCCTTGAATTACTTCCAGATCTCAGTTTTCCCTTCTGTCATGTAAGGAGGTTTAATTGGGTTATTTTTTAACAGATATCTTTCCATTCTAAAAAAAAAACCCATCAGTACTCACTGAGCAATGTATCTCAGTGTGACAAGAACTGATGCATACACATCACACACATTAGTGAGCGGGACTCTCCCGAAAACCTTTTAGGGAGATATTATTATTCTTGTCTCTGTTCTCCTGCAAAGGAAGCAGGCTTCACAGGAAAATCCGCCAGCCACGTTCTGCATGCCCAGTAGAGAAGACAGTCAGGGTTCACACTCCTCTCTGCCTCTCACCAAAATCTTAATCCTTCCAGTTTATTTTTATTTGAGTACAGTTGTGCACTACTGATGGGAATGCAAACTGGCGCGACCACCGTGGTAAACAGTACGAAGGCTCCTCAAAAAGTTACAACTACAAATACCCTGTGATCCAGCAATTACACTACTGGCTATTTACCCCCAAAGTACAAAAGCAGTAAGTAGGGTTACACGCACCCTACTGTTTACAGCAGCACCATCAACAACAGCCAAACTGTGGAAGCAACCTGAGTGTCTATCGACTGATGAATGGATAAAGAAGATGTGGTGTATACGCAATGGAATATTACTTGGCCATCTTGCCGTCTGCAGCGATGTGCATGTAGCTAGAGACGATGATGTTAAGTGAAATCAATCCTTTCCCTGTAGAGGGCTGCCTTCCATCCAACATCCCATGAACCCATGATCATGAAATTATTCAGATTTTCAGTGAAGCTACTTAAGGTCTCAATCACTTAAGGGTTGTGTCAAACTTGTCCTGTGTTTTCACTACTTTAGTTTGTACTCTCTCTTTTGATGTCAGAGAGATGCTTTGTGAGCAACACTTCGCCTTTGTAATTCGTGATGATAGGGGAAATCTACCAGGGAAATAATAATTATCACAATTTCATCAGTACAACTGAGGGAGGATTCATTAATATAAGTTCGCTTTTAATAACCTGGAGGGAGAAGCATTATAATTTCCTTGTTTATAACTGAGCATCATAGACGTTAAGAAGATGGTCCGTGTGCTCAGTTTACAAGGGATGGAGCTGGGATTCAAACCCCAGCCCGCTGACTCTCAGCTGGGCTTCATCAAACGTGCTGCTTGGAAGGTATCAAAGTGCCACCTCCACCCTCACCCGTGTGTGACTGTCTTCAGACCCCAGGTTGTCACTCTAGGAAGCAAACCACGAAAACCAGAAGGAACACTGACTTAGAAATCCATTCATTCTGGTCCTAAATCTCAGGTATGTGTCACCCCAAGGAGGGTCATCTAAGTCCCAATTCCTTGTCACTTGTAGGTGTTTGGGAAGGGATTGTCCTCCCTCATCATTGTACAGATATCGTCTAGGATCTTGATAAAAAGCAACGCAGCATGAGCTGAAGTAACAGGTGAATCGCTGAGATCTCTCTGCAGGACTGCGGCGCCCACGTGAGGGAAACCGTGTGCCCTGATTTGGGAGACATTTCAACTTTCAAATATTGTGCTTTATGGTCTGCCTTTCCTCCTGTGGGCTTGTTGACATCACGAGCCTCGATTAGGAGTACACTAGATGGATTCCCTCAAAGCGTAGACACTACCTGCAAGCATCATGCGTTGAGCAAATTCTGGGCCAAACACTCTACTTTAGGCTGATGTAATGTGCTCCAAAGAGACTTGACCTTTCAGTCATCTGTGTGGGAGAACAAAAGTAAAACCAGTCAGTTCTCACTAGTCATAGAATACAAAGCATGCTTCTAGATCTGTGTCAATAAAATTAAATAATATAACATCATGGTTTGGTTGGAGGCCCTGTGAATATTTAATAATGACCTATCTATCTACCTATCTATCCATCCAACTATCTTTCTATCTGTCTTCTCTCAGTAACTCATTCAAAAGCCAAGATGTCTGCATCGTTCGCTGATATGTACTTAGAGCTTGGTTGCCTGTTTTGTGTTCGAAAGACCTGGGTCGCAGATCCTCCCCAGCCATGTGGTGGCTTTGCAACCTCAGGCCTGTCCCCTTAATTTTTGTGAGGAGCTAGCCTCCTCATCTATCAGGTGGAACTAATGATATCCACCCTAAGTGCTCTATAGAAGTGTGGCGAAGATGAAGTTAAGCTCACGTTGTAAAAGTCACGAAGCTCTGCGGACGTTACGTGTGGTACTTTTCATCCAGTGCGCATTTGACCAAGAGTTGACTAATTGACTAAAAGCAATAGATCAAACTAGTTGGCCTCACAGTAAATTAGGACAGAGGCATGAGTAACCTAGATAAATAAAACAACAATGCATCATGTGAAAATTCCTCTGTCCAAATTGAGGCAAATTCAGCAAAACAGAACATAATCTGTTTCATAATCAGAACCTGATTCACAGAAAAGGGATCTGAAGGCAGGAAATCAACACACATTAGGGAAGTCATAGTCTGGATTGCAGCATGACTAAGAGCCCACGGAGATGCCCCGGGCATCCCCATACATCTCAAACCTCCACGCGGGGGCAGACAGGTGAGGTCCTGGCTCGTCCCCGCTGAGGCTCTTCTTCAGAAGAGCCGCACCTGCCAGAGAAGGTCGGCTCGTGTGAGGGCAGCGCCCTCATCAAGGGTGTGCCGTAACTCAGAACACCTTCCAGATTATTTCATAAGGCACACCCGCGAGGAGACGTTTCTGGCCGCACACGAATAAAGCATGGAGACAGCGCGGAAGCGAAGTGACCTTCCCTTAAAACACCAACTCAGCAGCCACTCACACTCTCACTGGCGTCTCTTAAAAAATTATTCCTCCCAAGGAGAGTAAAACACACTGAATCTCATCATCCAGGGAAGTGTTTTTGCAGAAAATTGAACCTGTGATCTTCAGCTCCTTTGCCCAGTCCACACTTGCGGGTCCTCTCCGAAGGGGCCACGGCGGGAGTGACTGCAAACTGTCCTTGCAAAGAAATCAATAAGAGAACTGTGGGTGGGGGGGTGGGGAGTGTGTCTCTGTCGATGTCCTGTTTGATCGCAATCACAAGATTGTAAAGACAAAAGGAAAGATGAAAGGTTACCCCGCTTGAAGTCATGATTTTTGAAAGTTGAGCCCACCCGTTGCAAATCAAGAGGATGCGGCTCTTCTGGGCAGATGTGAATCAGCTAGCCTTTGTTTTTCTGGGGCTGCAAGGACCCTACAAAAGGGGGAGCCCTAAGGCGAACACCCTGGAGCAGCAGGAGGTGGGGGGCGTCGGAGGTCTTCAGCAGAGAAGGACAACCTAGGTGAGCATGCCCAGCCTTCCCCTGCTGCTGCTGCTGCTCTGGGGCGTGGGGGTTCACGTCTTCACAGCGCCTGCTGAAACACGAGAGCGAGATGCCACGATGGTCCAGGTAAATGCTGATTCCCACACGCCATCCTCACGTTTCCAAGGTCAAGGTCTAGAAGCTCAAGCAAGTCTGGGATTCATTCTGGGGTAACTACTTTCTCTGAAACAGGTTCCCTCATAACAAAACGAAACATCTCTTTACACATCTGTAGACATTTCTTTGGAAGATAGAGGGAAACAGAGAGAGAGAGAGAGAGAGAGAGAGAGTCCTGACTACCTTAACACTGACTTCACAGTGTTATTATTTATTGGTAAGCCTCATAAAGGCTATGAAATCATCACAGATGCAGACAGGTTTTTTCCCCCCTCTTTGCCTGAAATCTTCAAGACAAAAGAACTTTTTATCCCCACAGTGAAATCCTGAAGATTTTCAGGCAGTAAATGAGAAAGGTTTCACGTTTCGTGTTTCGATATTTGCCTCCTTATCAGAAATACCTACAAAAGTACTACAACTTGAAGACTGGGACCAACAAATCTGGAAGGCAGAGAAACAGCGGTTTAGTGGTTGAGAAGCTGAAGCAAATGCAGAAATTCTTTGGGCTGAAGGTGACTGGGTGGCCAGATGCTGAGACCCTGCACATGATGCAGCAGGCCAGGTGTGGGGTGCCCGACGTGGCTCCCTATGTCCTCACTGAGGGGAACCCTCGATGGGAGTGCACAGACCTGACCTACAGGTAACCAGAACGGGCACCAGAGCGAGGACTCTATTCCCCATCAGAGCCATGGTAGAGGAGGTCTGACATGTCTCTCTTTTATTTCACGTGAAGGATTGAAAATTACACACCAGACCTGCCAAGAGCAGAGGTGGACCGTGCCATTGAGAAAGCCTTTCAACTCTGGAGTGATGTCTCACCCCTGACCTTCACCGAGCTCTCTGAGGGTCAAGCGGACATAATGCTATGCTTTGTGTGGGGAGGTAAGCCCTTCTTATCTCCCAAATCCATTCTGGACTTTACCTCCTGATGCTCGCAGGCCTTCTCCACTGGGGGTGGAGGGGTGTTGATTTCATGGGCCAAAGAAAGGAAGCTTCAAAGATCAAGAATAGCTTTGGGGGGCGCCTGGGTGGCTCAGTCGGTTGAGCGTCCAACCTCAGCTCAGGTCATGATCTCACGGTCCGTGA